AAAAAAAAAACTTTGTCGTTTGTGCAAACTTGAATGAAATTTTTTATCCAACCATGAAGCGTTTATTAACTTTTTAGAGTCGTTTGTAGAATTTTTTCCAGATAAATTTATTAAGAAGAATAAAGCACTTTCTACTAAAAAATTTTTTATTTCAAAAGTTCGAACTCAATACTTTTAATTAAAGTCAAGGGATTTCAATTATTCATCAGTATTTTTTCTCTTCATTAGTTTTAAATTTATTTTTACTCTTTTGTTATTTTTGTTTCTTTTTTTTCTTTTTGTTCTCCTCGTCGTTGGGTTAACAAAAGAATTACTATTGAACATAAACCAGCACGTGATAAATAGGAAAGATGGGCAAGAAAATATTTTCGAGGACGATTTCAAGCTTATACAAAAAAAGACTGTAATTAGAGAAATGGCAGAAAATCATTGTCTTGACTAAGAATGGGAAAAAATTCATTTTCCTTAAATGAAAATAAATGTCATGTGCTTCTTTATGCCAGCATCCAAAGCTTCTTTTATCTCCATTAAAAGAAAAACTAAATTCGACCAAGATGAAAAGGAAAAAAAGAAAAGGAAATTTCGGCAACAAAAGGTTATCGTAAGTCTAGGAAAAAAATTAAAATTTTAACTTGTACATTTGTAAAATAACTTGCGTGCATTATTAAAAATTCAGCCTCAAAACTTCTTAGTAAGTATTTGTACTAGGAATATTCAAATGGTCAAGAGTTACAATTTGAAGTGTACTATTATTATTTCTAATATTATTAACCTTATTGTTACGGGTACGATTGATCGTTTTTACTCTCAACTTTGTAAAAAATATGTAATATTGATTCCATACCTTTAAAAAATACTAGAAACTGACTGATTTGTATATATTACGTTTGGTTATTAATGAAAGTTATAATTACCACAAAAAAAAAACTAGAAAATTTGTAATATCATTTTAATACCAAAAAAGCAGAAATGATGAAAAATTCAGAATCTTAGCCTCTTTTTCCGTAAATAATATTTGGAAGAAAAACTTGAAGTGTTTGATTTACAATTTTGTTATTATTTCAAATTTAACTTGAATAAAAAGAATAAGAAATTTAAAAAATTGGTTTGAGAATTATTCAAGTGAGATAAAGATTTTCACGCACAAACTTCAACTTTTTACCCAAGTACCTGAACCTACGATAGATGCCTATCACAAAGGTCAGGAAGGTCATGTTTGTGTTAGGAAAGTCTCGACTTTTACGTGTTGTGTGTTGGCTGGCTTAGGTAATGACGATGCCCTAAGAGGCATATCCATAGCCCATCAAGGCACTTGTAATGACGGTAGTTCGCTACCACCCGTACTCTAGCTTATTATAAATAAATATCTTTATGCTAAAAAAAAAAACTTTTTACCCAAGTAAAACTCATATCCAAACAAATTCAAGTTTATTTAAACTTCAAATATTTTTTTTGCCAAACTTACTTTCAATTATAATTTCCGAACGCCCTTAATGGTAGAGTAAGAAGAGCACATGAAAAAAAAAATATTGGTATCTCAAATTGGAAACTGTTTAAAAAAATATAATATATTAATATAAATAGGTGTAAAAAAAAAAGGTAACAAAAATATATACAGCGCCAGAAATAGTGGCGCTATATATAAACGGTAACTGGACCGTTTATGTATAGCGCCACTATTTCTGGCGTTATGCACTGTCAGAGTGATATAGCGCCACTATTTCTGGCGTTATACATTGACAGTGATATAGCGCCAGAAATAGTAGCGTTATATCCCTCCCCAAAAAACCCTCCATCTTCTTCTTCCCCCGTCTTCTTCCTCCATTATTCTAATCCCCCTTCCTAAAATTGGTCCCCCCCTCTGTCCGCCACTAAAAAAAAAAAAAATTTGGGTCCCCCCGGCACATAAAACTTGAAGAACGTAGGTCCCACACTCGAGTAGAGCTTCTTGTTATTGTTGATTCACGCTTTCGGAGTCAAATTTTCGATCTATTGCTTTCCAAAAATTCTAAATCGAGGTATTTCGATTTATTTTAAGTTGAAACTTTTATAATAATGCATATTACTTGATTTGTATGTGTTCTATTTCGGTTGGTGGTTTTATTTTCGAAATTAGCATCTTAAATTTATCCGAATTTAATTTTACTGTTTTATATAAAAATATAAATTTGTCTGTTAATATTCTCATTTATATATATGTGCTTTCATGCCGTTTTGTGTTTTATTTGCAATTAAATTTATTTTGTTATTTATGTTTAGTTTAGATTATTTTTTAGCGTAGTAAAATCTAGACCTTTTTAGCGTAGTAAAACGTAGACCCTTTTAGCGTAGTAAAATTTAGAGCCTTGTAGCGTAGTAATGTGTAGTATTTTAGCTTAGAATTCCTTTTGTTTTGGTATCTATTACTGGTATTTCGATCCTCAAAATATCGAGCCCGGAATCCATACGTAAGTAATTTGTACAATTAAGTTATTAAAAAATATGAATTTAAATTATAAGAAAATACATAATTATTAATGATAATTTTGTGCCACTGGGCCTCAAAATATGGAGCCCGGAGCCCATACGTAAGTAATTTGTACAATTAAGTTATTAAAAAATATGAATTTAAATTGTAAAAAAATACATAATTATTAATGATAATTTTGTGCCACTGGGCCTCAAAATATGGAGCCCGGAACCCATANGGTCCCAGCGCCAGTTGCACTCCACCGGCCCAGCCAGCCAGGGGTGGAGGTCGGGGAGGTAGAGGTCGCCCTCGAGGGGGAGGCCAGGCCAGATATTATGCTCTTCCAGCCTGTACTGAGGCTGTCGCCTCCGATTCTATCATTACAGGTACTATCTTGGTCTATCACAGAGATGCATCGGTTCTATTCGATCCAGGCTCCACTTATTCTTATGTGTCTTCTTACTTTGCCCCACATTTGGGTGTACCTCGGGATTCTTTGAGTTCCCCAGTTTATGTTTCTACTCCTGTGGGAAATTCTCTTATTGTGGACCGCGTTTACCGGTCATGTTTGGTTATTCTTGGTGGTTTTGAGACCAGAGCCGACTTATTGTTGCTCAGCATGGTTGATTTTGACAATATTTTGGGCATGGACTGGTTGTCGCCCCATTATTCTATTCTTGATTGTCACGCCAAAACTGTGACACTGGCCATGACAGGTGTACCGCGTATTGAGTGGAAGGGTGCTTTAGGCCACACTCCCAGTAGAGTTATTTCTTTCCTTAAGGCTCAACGTATGTTGAGAAAGGTTGTGATGCGTACTTAGCTTATGTGAGAGATGCCAGTATGGATACTCCTTCTGTTGATTCAGTCCTAGTGGTACGGGATTTCCCTGATGTG